CACGAATAACTCAAGTGCAATATTAAAAAGAAGACAGGAGAGAGAATCTCCCTGTCGAACACCTTTAAATAGGTCAAGATTTTCTGTTGTTGTTGTTAATTTACATCGCGGATTTTACATCGCGGTAATTTACATCGCTATTGGCGACGGTCTGGGAAACATCCCGGAGGATGATCNCTTGAGAATAACATGCATTTTGTTTTCTCTACATTTATGACTAAGCCCATTTGTCTTGCAGCTACCTCAAGGGCAAGAAATGCCTCTTTTAGGGCAGGAAGGGAAAGAGCAATTGCATCAACATCATCAGCATTTGCAACTAGTTGTACTGATCGAGTAAAAATGTGACCACTGGTATTAATGTTTGAACCACGAATAACTCTCTCAAGTGCAATATTAAAAAGAAGACAGGAGAGAGAATCTCCCTGTCGAACACCTGTGAATGTGTCAAGATTTTCTGACAGAGACCCCAGAAACTTAATCTTACACTTTGTATCTTTCAATGTAACTCTCGCCAGTTTAATGAGTTTTGAAGGTATTTTAAAATTACTCATTATTTTAAGAAGATGATTTCTATTGATACTATCAAAAGCAGCCTTGAAATCAATAAAAATATGATGTGTTTCAATGTTAAATTCCATTGACCTCTCTGAAATCTGACAGAGACAAAATATTTAATCTTTATTTAACAATTTTGATTAAAATCATAGAACGTTGAGTTGAAATTCTCTTGGCACAAAGGGTAAATGAAACAACCGATTTAATTATAAATTTTCTCTGCCTTTAAGCATTTCTTCAATTTTTCATCATGGCGTTTGGTACTGTTCTGATAAAGTTCTTCAAACAAACATCATTCGAAAGTAAAACTAACAAAAATAATTTTATCATATTGAAGATTAAAGTAATAAAATATATTAACGTACATCAAGATGTCGCTCATGGGCATGGGCTGCAATAGTGGCACAGCTCAGAAAGCACTCGTTTTGGACTAAGAACAGGTGTAAATATGAAAATACGCATTCTTTTCAGCAGCAATACTAACACAACTCATATTTCAACTTGAAGGTAATCTTCGTTTAAGCAAACTACATCATTTCTTATGCATTTTCCTTAGCTATGAAAACTTTAAACGCACTTATTTCAAAATATGATTTTTTGAGCTGTGCCGCTATCGCAGCTCATGAAAAGGGCACANATCGCAGCTCATAAGCGATAAGTTCAAGAACTTATATGTTATGCTCTTGAAAAATTTTGAAAATAACTGTTTAGTTTAAATCAATTTATAGTAAATAATGAAAACTTTAATTTTATCAACTATTTCATATATTTAATGTTTAAGCAATGCACGAGAAGATAAGACACTATTATTTTGATTGGACTGTAATATGAAAATATTTTTACTGGTAATAGTTTGAAATCGGGGCCTCTCTTATATTTAACGGTTAGGGAATAAACCAATAGGCATGAAAATAGATTAAGAAATAATCGCATATCGTTAAACAAAAGTTGTGGTAACCCGAAGGTGACGTCATTGAAAACAAAGAGAACCAAGAATACCATGGTAACCAGAATCGGGATTTCAGCAAAACTGAACATATTTATTTTTAACATATTTTGTATGCAAAAAATATATTTATATCGTATTCGCGATCGCAACACTCGAGTGCGCCCTCTAGCGGGAGCCTGAAAATATCAGACATTAATTTATCAAGTTTTCATTTAGTTCCATCAAAATCATTGGCAAAATCAGACGACGCCATTTTCTTAGCATCAAATAAAAATAAAAATTTCCCTAAGGAAAAGACGAAGAACTTGAAAAAACTCTCCAGAATATTGGGATATCTGTCAGACCCAGAACACGCCGAACATTTGAAGAAAAATTTCTCAATAATTTTTAACTTCTATTATCAACAAACTTGCAACTGATAACTTCCGATTTCGCTATCCCATACTGTTACAGATGTGTGTATTGAGGTAAAATGCATTTCTTCTGTCTTCAATTCATTACAAATTAAAGTGAAGTCAACATTGCTTTCGTCATTTCAATAAATAAATGTGAATTCAGAACGTACAGAACTGTAATAGTTATAGAATTCGCGATCGCAACGAACTATAGGGGGCGTTGTTGTATGAGACGCATACCTGCGATTTCTGGAGACGTCTTTAATGTAGCGTGTAGCATTTAACGCTCCTTCTTTAATGTGGCTTATTAAATTTAAAAAAGAAAAATGTTTGATAGATATCCTTTCTTATACAACCAAAAACAAGATGGTATCTCTTTTTCTTTGAAAGAAGGAACATCCAAAACACATCTGAAAAATATTTGTAAATAAACAGAAAAAAATGTGCATCTTCTTATTAGAGTTAAAACCTAATGCCTGAGAAATAGTTTCACTAAATTTAATGATATAACCTGAAAGGCCTATTTAAACTTTACATTCCATAGTTTTAAGAATCATATTACTTCAAACATTAAAATAAGCAAAAAGTATACATAAGCTTCATAATTTTATGTAATTTAATTTTGTAAATAAAGTTTTTTGACAAGTAATTTTATCAAAAAATTTTAAGTTTTAATAAAAATCATTATTTAGAAACTGAAAAACGTAAAGTAAAGAATGCTTACGATACAAAACAAAAAAAAAAAAAT